TTTACACAGCTTGGTGCTGTGCCCCTCTCCACACTTTTCGCAGCAAACTNTGCTGCGGCAGAACTTCTCTAGGTGACCCAACTTCTGGCACTTCTGGCATCTTCGTACCTTTGGGATGTAGGGGTGGAGCTGGTACCTGGAATAAAGAAGGGGAAGAGGACCATTAGGTACTTTCCCGCTTGCAAATGTTAATTGGACAGTCCTAACGGACTTGCCCTCCCGAGGTTTGTAGAGGTATAAACCCTCTACAGCGTGATTGTGGAGCTTAAGATCCTCCAGCAATTCACCCTCGGAGTACTCGGAGGGGACGCCATAAATGACGACCCGTTCCGTCTTGTTGAAGGTGGACATGGCCGAGTCCACCTTCATCCCACACAGTGCGGTTTGGTTGGCAGCATAAACCGCATCTGCCAGGAACTCAAAGTTCAGCCGCACGTTGCCGTTGGCCAGGACTTTGACCTCCGGAAGAGAGCTATACTTCCACTCTTTCCGGATGAAGTCGCCGATGACCTTCGACTTCGTGCTGCCGAAAGTTTTGCCCCCGCTTGGCTTCACTATTACGATGTTGGAGAACTCCGGCCTTGCTACCCTGGGTTGCATGGTAGCAGCTGGCCGACTCGCAATATCGGCATAGCTAACCTTGGTGGATTGTTGGGAGGCCATTTTAGCTGAAACTGAAGGTTTGATTAGTACAAATGCAAAATATAAGATACAATACAATAAGACAGATCAGATAGCTATCAAGAATGCCTTGCAGACTGTGCAAAAATTGATAGTATGAAAATGAAAAGAGAACAACGAAACAAAACGAAACCTAGTGAAAGCTTTGTAGGACAGCTTGAATTTCTTCCGCCAAAGAAATTGTCGGCCGCCCAAAGAAAAGATAAAAGAAAAGAATAAAAAGGAACGAACTCACAAATTAGTGGCAGGTGTCAAAAGTTAACTGGGTTATACTTAATTAATACTTGACAGTAATCCGCTAATCCAATTTCACCAATCCAGACTAGAGAGAGAGCTAATTAGTTGTTCACAGTACGAGTGTCGAACTAATTGTGATTTGCTTAGTGAAGATAGGGATATATATAGACCGTGGCCCTATGACAGGCATATGGCACTACACAGATATTTTGGATATTCGAGATAAGCCGTTCACAGAGACAGGATGTCGGTTGAGAGAGTATTGCTAATGATAATCCAGTGACAGGTCTGGCGGGGCCAGTTATTCAATTAGCAACAGGTGTAAAGAGTAGAAGAAAGTATTACCTGGTAGTAGTACCATTGGCTAATCAAAATGATGTCGAATAGCTGGAGAGAAAGGCCTTATATACGAATCCAAGTCATTTGAGTTACGGAAAGGCCTTCTTTCCGCTGGCTTGTATATGTTTAGGCAATTGAATAAGTGCGGTTTGAATGAAAATGAAATAAAATGAAATGCATTAAGGAGCATCAGCTCCAGAATACGTTAAAATAATAAAAAAAAACTAAAACAATAAAACACCTATCAATATCACAGAAAGGTCACATAGTGATGATAAAAGACGATAAAAACCATATCACAGAAAAAGTCATTTAATGACTACAAAAAAACACTAAAAACAATATCACAGGTAATACACCACATGGTGGTATTAAAAACAAACAAAATATTTAAAACAAACAATGACTAATCTATTTAAAATTTAAAATAAAGACCTGCTTGTTTTAAAATAGCCACAACCTTCTCATAAAGAGAAACCCCGGCAAAAACCTCCACTAAACGTCTAATAACAAGCCCTTTCGAAGACAATCAAAAGAAAAACCGAATAGAAGACCCTAGAAAGACTACCCAGAGATCTACCTCACGAGATAGAACTGTGGGTAGTCAGGACTCTAGGGTCAGCAGATGCGATGCCGGTAAAGTTCAGAAAGACCGACAGAGATCATCATCAGACAACAGAAGTGTCAAAAGTGTCATATTTCATCATTTGCACACACAACCAAAGAAGATTCAAGATCACTGACCGGCTATAGCCTCTAGGGAACAACACCACCCTGTTATAATCTACTGGCCATCTGTGTTTTGTAAATAAATTCACCCATCCAAAATTGTGTGTTATTTTTGTGCTTTAACTTTTATTTGTTTCACCTGTCCGACCGTCAACAGTCCTTTAACACCAACTTCTTCAAATTTATTTATTTTTTTTTTATTATTTTCATCTTTTTTATTCTTCTTTTGCACCTTTTCAACAAAAAAATTTTAAAAAAAAAAAAAAAATTTGTAGATTATATAATTACTAATTGAAACTGATTGAAAGAAAGGTTACCATGCAGATTAAACCCGAAGGGACTCTGCATTCTAACGTCAACTCTCAAGACTTTCTGGACGTCATGCAGGAAAGAAAGTCCCCTATGACCATCATTAGGGGATTCCAGAACTGGTGAGAGCTAAATTTCTGATTTCGTTCGAAAATCAGATAGATCTGGATCATTTTCATTCTTGGTTTAAACAAGATTCCAGGATCTATAATAAGATCAAACTCGAGATCGAACATGCTAAAAACATCCCAGCTCTGAACCGTAAGCCTGATATCCGTATCATGATTTACGGTGTACCATACGAGATGCAGAATGATGTAATTCTGACAAAATTACAAGCATTCTGTACTTCACTACGCATTAAAAGAAATACTTTCTCACGCCATCCAAACATCGATACTGGTGTGAGATTTATCTTTACACAGGAGATAAAGAAACTAATCCCCTCCAGTATCCTGATCGATAATCACAAGCTGGGTATAAAATATGAGAACCAGCCCAGGACTATCCAAAAATGTTTCTTGTGTGGCGGTGAGAGCCACTTAGCAAAAGATTGCCCTAAACCTCCCCGTGTCCCCGACCCAATACCTGCTGCCCAAAAACCAAAACCAGCAGTAGGCAAAACAAGCTCTCAAACATACGCTGATAAAGTCAGGGGGGGGGGGGGGGGAGGGGCAACACTGGTCTCTCTGAAATAGCCATACCAAACCAGATCCAAAACCCAGGTCAAATCTAACTGAAAGTCTCGGCATCGGAGACAGAACTGAACCTCTGATGACCGAAATTCAACAAATAAGAAATGAGTACGAGGAACAAAACATTGCCGAACCAGAAAGGGCAACCTCTACTCCCGTCCCAGACATCGACGACTATGATCGAAGCAGAGAGGAGATTGATCTTCGAACCGCAGCAGAAAGTCTACAATGATCAATTAACCGGGCGTAAGAAACCCTAAACCAATCCACCAATACCACCTTCAAAACCCCGGCAAAAACCTCCACTAAACGTCCAATAACAAGCCCTTTCGAAGACAAAAGAAAAACCGAATAGAAGACCCTAGAAAGACTACCCAGAGATCTATCTCACGAGATAGAACTGTGGGTAGTCAGGACTCTAGGGTCAGCAGATGCGATGTCCGTAAAGTTCAGAAAGACCGGCAGAGATCATCATCACACAACAGACGTGTCAAAAACTAATTTTGGGTTAAAATATCATATCACTGTTTCACTATTTGAAATCAATCTTTCATCCCTTATTAAATTCATATCATGATCATATCAACTTTAAATATTCACCGCGGTTTTGACACAAAAAAACATCAAATTTTAGATTTTTTCAAATTAAACGATTTTGCATGCTTACAGGAAGTTGGAATCGTTACTGATCAAAATTCTACAGATATTTCTACCATCTCTAAATTTAACATAGTTTTCTCCAACGGCACTAATTTAAGCACGGCAGGTGTCGCCACACTCTATTCAAACGATTTCAAATTAGTCCGTACTTATACAATTCCAAAACTAACTGGTCGCTTTCTGCATTTAGTACTTACCGGTAATGACGTCATGTTTCATATCATCAATGAATATGGCGTGAACGAACGTAAAGAAAAAGGTGATTTCTATTCTGAGGTCAACACCCACGTCTCTAAACATTTCAACATTAGAGACGTTTTTGTAATATGCGGTGATTTCAACCTCATAGAATCTAAACTAGACAGTAAAAATAATATCATGATCAACCAACCTCTTACTGCACTGAGTCAGCTGCATCTGATGCAAACCAATTGTGTAGTAGAGGACGCCTTTAGATCCAAGTACCCTAGAAACAAACAGTATACCTTCTTGAAAGATGCTTCTGGCACCCGGATAGACCGTATCTACCTTTCTTGCCACTTCTCCAACAAAATACAAGATATAATCCATCTCAACTCCTCATTCTCCGACCACAAAGCGGTTAAACTCACCCTTAACCTTGGGTCCGCACGATGGGGGAGAGGGAAATGGAAACTGAATAATTCCATTCTGGAGGACATTGAGTACCAGACTCTCATCCGGGAGTTTTGGTCTGATTGGAAGGGTAATAAACCCGATTACTAAGACCAAACCTCCTGGTGGGGGGAAGGTAAAGCCAAAATTCAAACTATCTCGATCCGATACTCAAAAACTAGAACCAAATCTATCAAAGCTGAAATTGAAAACATACAAAATGAAATAAACGAAATTGAAACTTACCTTACTTTAGACCAACAAAATAAAACCCGCCTGGAAACACGGTACTCAAACTTGAAGAAAAGGAAATAAAGGCATTCTGATACGATACAAGTTGGCTTTCGAGGAATCCGGAATGTTTCGAAAGACAGAATTGGATAATTCGACCAGAAAGAAGATACGGAAACTGGAAGATAAAACTGGGAAGATTAAATCTTCCCAGGAAGACATCCTCAGCATTGTCCAGGCTTTTTATAAGGACCTGTAGGGAAGGATGGGGTAAGTTGAGCCAGTAAAGATGGGGTATGTTGAGCCATGATCAACTTACCCCATATGTGGCTCATCTTACCCCAATATCATCAACACATGTTCATAATTACATCAACACATCCTTACTATTATATATATTGATAATTGAGGGGGACTTCGTTGTAGTTCAAGTTTCCGGGAAATCTCGTAAAATGAACTACATAGCAAGAGTTGATCTATTGGACAGAAATGAGTATGAAGGTGTATTCCTTCAGAAAGTTTCCGGAAAAATAGATTCTGAAGGAATATCTTTT